GAGAATTTAGCTACTCATTAAATGCAGGCATTTGGGAAAAATAATGAAACACAGCCGACCAGATTATTTATTATATGTCATTCCCCGTGATTTTTATCTCTACTGTGACGTGCAATAAAGGCACAAAAATGCCACAAAGAGCTGATATTTCTTTGAAGAAGTAGGTAAAAACTTTCAAGCAGTAGTTTGACAGATAGGCGATGTTGTTGCTTTTAACTGGTTCTCAGTAAAATCAATGGATTTAAAAATGCAGATTACAAAAGAAATCTGTAGTCATTTTGTAGTCATGAGCAATGTCTTCCTCACAGCACTATTGAATTGCTTACACATCATGAGAAATAGCCAATCAGCACTGACGGTTAAATTCTTTAAATTCTTCTTCCTCTCTAAAAATATATAAGACATAAACAAATAAAGGTATTTCAAGGTAGCTTGGAATTAAATAAAATAAAATTTGAACACCAAAATTTTAATTCTGACTGCAAATGTATTTGTAATATCTAAAACCCTCGATTACTTATCAACAGCATCGATATCAGCTTTAAGAAAAAGCATGTTGGTCGACCCCCAGTTTTTAAGAAATAAGCTCAACACAAAGACTATTAAATAAATGCTTATAAAGTGTTAATTAGTGAACTTTACTAAGTACTACTATTAGTAATCTAATAGTGTTAATGCTAAGCTAAACCAACTGACTGCCCTGATAATTAGAAAAACGTCAGAGCAGAAAACATGTTCAGTGTGTTTCCTAAAATGTTGAACAACGTTGCTCTATCATCCTTGTTTCAGTTTTCATCTGTGCTGTGCAGACTCTGGTCGTGATGCAAGTGATATTAATCTTATTATCTAATTCTTTGCAAGAATGCGAGCGCTCTCCAAACTTTGAACTATTCTAATCTGCCTGGAAAAGAAAAGAAACTTGAAAATATGCTCCGTTCAGCTGTCGAGAAAAAGACTGATTTGAGACGCGGTCGCTAAACCAGTCGATTCTCTCCGTCCTGCCCCGAGGCCCTTCCCTGACCTGCCTCACGGGCCTCATCTCTCACCTCTGTATGATTGGCATGGCCACAGGTTTCCTGCCCAAACACGAGAGCCCATCTTCAAAGTAATAGCTTACAGCTGCTGCCTGGATAATCCTCATCCCCTCTGTCTTTGAAGGGATGCGGTGACATAATAGCCCCGGCTATTCTTCCCTAAATTGTTATGGTATTTCTCAGAGTGTTGTTCAATAGCAAAAAGGGGGAGTAGGTGAGACTGTTGCACGTGTTGCTAAATGTAGCATGATTATCAAGCGCCATAAGCAGCTCCATACTCCCCCCCTCCTCCTCCTCCTCTTCTCTCTTATTCTTCAGGGTTTCTTTTATCCCGCCCAGTCCTCCTGATGCTTATCACTGCGGCAGAAGCATTAAATGTAATGTCTGCAGAAGGGAAATCATTGGCAACATGTGGTGAGAGCTTAAGATGTTGTCACACTTTAAGTTGCCTATAATCTGTTCAAAGGGAGAGTGCATAGTTCTCCAAAGTGCCTGGAAAAAGGGGGGAAGAAGAAGAGCAGGCGAGAGGCCGATGTCTCTCAGCTGCACTTTGCTCGGCTAAAGTGTTCATCAGACAAAACAACCCTCGCTCCTTGTTGGCTTTTGTCTTCCTCATAATGCTCTCGCTCTCTCTCTCTTTTTTTTTTTTTTGTTCCTGTTTTTTCTTGCATTTGCTTGCAGCATTACAAGCCTCAACAGTGCGATAATCTGTCACGGAGATGGAGAGACAACCGCCGATAATGATAAAAAAAAAAAAAAAAAAGAACAGACAAGGGATTACAGGTATGCGGACACAGGATTAAAAAGAGGGACGTAATGATTCCTCTGGGAGAGAGGTATGTGCTGAGATGGGCTCTTTTTTTCATTTATGAGTCCCGTTGTGGGGAGGCCTGGGTAAATATTGACAGTTCTCTGTGCTTGAGATGCGGCCATTGATCCACACAGGAGGGTCTCATCACTTGATCTGTGCGCTCAGGTGTGGGAGGAGGAAAAGCTCGAGCCGGGACGCAGGGATGTCATCCTGGTGGTCCTCCTTTGTGGTTGTCTTTTATACTCAGACTAGCTTTTCTTCTTGCAACACTTGGGATCGTGTTACCAAAGCAGCTGAACGTCCAGAAAGTGGATTTTAGGCGGATACACGTCTTAGTGGGATGGGTCACCGGGATCAAGTAGAGGGAGAAAGTGGTAAATGATCACCTAAATCACTTTAAGTCTGATTTCAGTCGCACCTACAGCTTCTATAATATCTTTAATATCCCCGCGGATCCTCGCGGAGGGATGTGTGGTCTCTTTTCCGGCTAATGTCATCACCGGCCCCTGTCGATGTGTTTTTCTATATATAAAATCATCATTTACATCTTCCACTCTGTCTCCTGTTGGCATGCTGGCCCAGAGGCCTGGTCCTCAAACCACTAATCAGGTAATGTTGGGGAGGTTGAATGGCGTGCCTCCCCCTGGTCAACCTTCACTGCTCACACAGTGGTGTTGTTTTAAAGAGCATTCTTTAGCAGCTGAACTTGGAAAGGTATTAAAGTGGGATTAGGCTCCTCCACAATCCACTGCTTGTGTCATTCAGGGAGTTTGTGTTCTCCTCTCCCCGCTGCCACCTCCCCACTCCTCCTCTGTTTGATTGTGGCTAGCCGCAGGAGTGGGACTGACTGTGCCTTTCAAAGGAGAGGGGTAGGGTTAAATCCCTAGTCCACTGCTCCCTGCTAATTCTCCTTGTTCCTTAGAGAAGGATTTACTTCTGCTGCCAGCTTCTCAAAGGCCTTCTCTGCCCATCCGAAAAGTCGGCGTTGCCTTCCTGTGGAGGTGTGGTTGCCATAGAAGGGGCGTCATGCATGGCTATTCCATCTGAACCCTGCTGAGAATGGGGACCGGGGACTGAAAACAGGCAGAAAGTCCGGATTAGACCCGAGGACAAAGCAGGACAGGAAGATTCCAGAAGGGACGAATAGGAATTACAGCAGCAAAAATAATGCAAAGTGACAGAGAGGGGAAATAGAAAAATAATGGCTTACAAGATTAGACTCGGCGAGGAGAAAGAAGAAAGGAAAGAGGGCTGAATGAGAATGTTTTCATCTAGATGAGAAGATTTGAGAGAGCGGTCGTAGGTGAATGCGAAGTCCTGGACGTATCAAAACCGTGCTAACAAGTCATTTCCTCAACTTTTTGCTCGCTTTCTGAGCCTAAGCCGGCAATCATTAGCTAAACATTAGAGTTAGAGCTGGGAACTTGTCTTGACAGATTCATCACCTCTTTCCCCTGATCCCAGCATGTAACACACTAATCCTTCTAAAAACTAGAAACAAGCCCCTGAATATTCACTTCTTCATTTGTAGGAATAAGTCAATGTGAGATTTCTCTCTTTCACTTTTTTTTTTCTAATTTTTTTTTTTTTTTTAATTTAAAGTGCTGTGCTTGTCTTTTATTTTCCAGTGACCAAATTTGGTGGTTTGTTTAGAAGACAGATCCAGGTTGGCAGGTCACTTAAACAAGAACCCTGCTTGTTTGAGAAACATGCCAAAATTTCTTTTTCAAGGGATTATCCTTGAGGTTTTTCCATAGTTCAATAATAATCTTCTTAACTTATTGTAATAAATGAAAGATTAAAGGATTTCATGAACCCTGAGAGTGCCAGTTCTGACATCTCTGTTGTTTTGCTGCTGCGTGATGGTTAAAAAAAGAAAATAAGATGCTGTAACTGTCTTTTGCTGGCAGATTACAGGTTGTAATTTTTACTATAATGGATTAATATCCAGAAAGGAGTGAAATGGCCTTTTAATTGTTGAGATGTAATTAAGATGGCATAAAATGTAGCTCTCCTGATTCAGATCTGATGAGCGGTAGTGAAGCAATTATTTTAGAAAGCACACAGAAACCGCGCTTGTTTCCTGCCCGCATACAGCTGCTCATACACATGCATTTACACGTGCGAACACATGCACGCACACACACACACGCAAGCCATATCAGTACTCAATCAGTACCTATAACAGCATTACCATAACAAAACCATCCTTTGGTTTCCCTCCTCTCATATTTACACATTATATTCATCACTATCGCTCATCCCTGTCCCGAACCAGCAGATGATGTCAATTGCTCCTCTCGCTGCCTCCCTGCCTTGCACAATGAAATAGATGTTCACCACAAATAGATAGGCGGTTGCCAGCTGTCTTCCAGACCAGGGCAAACAAAGAGGCCGCTAATAAATCCAGCTTTACGGCTGGACAAGATCAACCACACTCCCTGCCTTCTTGCTCCATTTAATGTGGCTTCTTCTGAACAACAGAGGACGAATTAAATGCCTCTCAGTCGCCAATAAAACAATGCAAACATCTTCCTGAAAGGATATAAAAGAAGATGGAAGTGTTGTCTAGGAAATGGTGATAGAGGTAGTGTTGCACCATGGAGGCACGATATTAGGCAGTAAGATGAGATATGAACAGAGTGGAAGGCAGCCCAGTAGCCAGCGATGAATCATGCTCTCTGATACGGTATCTGATGCATATAGAGTGTTGTGGATATGAAAGAAATGTATAAAAAGGCTCGATTGGTGCCCTTAGAACATGACCTGGGCTCTTTTTTTAGATTTGCGAGGGGGGTTTCGGTGACCACGACTGAGCTCACTTGAAATGATGCAGGGCCGGGCCCGCCCTAGAACTTTTACCAGACGAGCTGCTGCCAAAGGAGTCACCTCTTTGGCCGCCCACGGGATCAACAAGCCAACTTCCAAAATCCTTGATGGGCAGATAAAGCAAGGTTATTGGACAAAATAAAGAAAAGCACTTAAAGTGACACTTTTTACAGCTTTTATTGAGCACAGCGACCACTGTGGCTGCAGGCGGTTACCAGATAAAAGTAAAATACACAATCGTTTCTTTTCGCAGAGGTTACTCAGTGTAAATTCTCCGTCATGAGCGCACCTCAGTAATCCTCTTTTTTTTTTTTTTCTTTCTGTAGGTTGTTTGCTACCAAGTGTAGCGGCTGCATGGAGAAAATCGCCCCCACAGAGTTTGTGATGCGGGCTCTGGAGTGCGTCTACCACCTGAACTGCTTTTGCTGCTGCGTGTGCGACCGCCAGCTGAGGAAGGGTGACGAGTTTGTCCTGAAGGAGGGTCAGCTGCTCTGCAAGATTGACTACGAGAGGGAGAAAGACTTACTCAGCTCGGTCAGCCCCGATGACTCAGACTCAGGTGAGCCCTCTGCACCCTCTCGCACACTAGTGAGAACAACACGGTGGTGCTATCATCACATGGCACCGAGGTGTTGTATTCTGTATGCTCTGTTCCATCACAGCGGTCGCCAACATCCTCCACCATGAGCCCACACTGAATCTTGCTGATTTTTAGGGCTATGTTATTAATATTAAAAGAAACAAACAATCCTAGCTGCCAGATCTTTTGCTGAGACATCTGAGTTCTTGTATGCAGCCCAGCCCTTCTAAAATGGCTCCATCTGCAGCTTTTCAATGGCTGATTTTTGCAGCATTCACTCAAGGAGGGAGCGTAGGTTTATGATACAGTAGGAAGTGGAAACAGGACGAAGCCAAGCCACCCCGTATTAATGGCTCTCCATGCGTGGGCAGGATCTGGTGCTGGAAAGAATTAAATCACTGTATCATGGTGAGTGACAGAGGGATTTGGGGCCTTTCTGCAGAAAGCCTGCGCCTCCACTCTTATCAGCTCTAGTGTTCCTCGCCTATAGCCTCCACACACAATGAGGCATCTCGCCAAGCCTCACTGTTCACTACCATCTGGCTCACATTTAAACATGCACAAAAGCGGGGAATTTGTCAAATACATCTGTGCCTGTGTCAACTTTTGTCAACTTGTGGGAATATTTGCTCCGGCGTCTTGCTCGTTCGCTCGCGTCCCGCTCGCATCGCGCAGGCTCGTCTTTTGTGTGCGTCTCCAGATTTTCAAGACGGAGAAAATGTCGACATGAACAGAGGTTAACCTCGGCATGCGGCAGATGAAATGTAGGTTTTCAGTGGAGAAATGTAGATACATATCAGAACCAGATGACAGGAGACACTGAGCCATCATGCGTGTGCCTCTCCGCTTGTAGCCACTACACCCCAAAATCATTAGGGTTTGTTAACAGCACTGCTGGTTCTGATTTGGAGACACGTCACGTACAATGATAATTAATGTTTTTTTGTTTTTTTTAAAAATCCATTCATTTATTTTTCATGTTATGCTTACACGGCTGTGTGGCCGCTGTGGCAAACGAAATGCTTGGTTCCCTGCAGAATTAAACCACCATATTTGTTGAATTAAGTGACATGTACGATATGATACAACTTTATTTTCAGCTTACACTGAAATTCATTTTTCATCCTTAAGGCCAACTCGGTTGAAGAGGTGAATGCACAGTTACTAACGCAACTCATATGTGACCCACTTTACCCACCCCTCGTACATAATAATCATGTACATAACAGCATTAACAAATGTAAACAGACAACATTTTTAGAGTATAAAAAAATCTCATTTGGCAGCACCCTAGTTCTGGTTAAGCAGGAAAATAGTAGTAGTTTTTCCAGCCTATTACATATACATTAAGGGACTCTGAAGTGCCTGTTTAAAGAAAGAAGTTTGTACTCTTTATTTGAGAAGCTTCAAGGGAAGCCCAAATCTTATAATAAGTGACTGTAATTTAAGTGTTTAAAAACTGCAAATGAAAGTAAGGTGGCGTGTATGATTTTCATCCAATACACTATTTGTTAAATCCTCTCAGTCTGGAAAATAATCATACACTGCCCTGTCCTGTGCACATTCACACTTGTGCACATTCATGCTCGTGCACAGGACAGGGGAAAAGGAAGGGGGAAGATGAAGAGAGAGGGGACAGTAAATCTGGCACATGCTATCTAAAAATGCTAACCAGCGAAATGTAAATAATCTTTCTCCAGAATGGCAGGCTCCACCTTTAGTACTGGAAGAACTAGTTGTGTGGCTGTGGCAACTAGTTTCACAATGTTTTCATGCTGTATTCAACAACAAAGAAATATTTATGATCATTCCCCCCAAAAAATTAGAGGGTTGCTCTTTAGGAAATAAATTGCTAAATATTTAAGTTTTAGTTTGGTATGTCTGCAAACAGTTGGCTGAACAGCCGGCTCTAAAAACCTATAAAGATACCTGTTATATAATTTAGTTTTAATAGTACGTTGTAGGATACAGGAATAAAAATGACACAGATTTTACTACCCTAAACTCTAATATCCTGCTGTTGACAGTGAAAGTTTATCAAGCCATACACTGTAGGTTCCATCATTACTTTAAGCTTTAAAACAGAGCGAAACTTCCATCTGCTTACCGTGTCGCAGGAGGTGCATTTCCCACATGTACTCGTGTTGCCTTTTTCATGTTGCACTTGATGTAGTATTCTTATCAGAGATTGATTTAGTGTAAATCAGACAAAGCTGAGAGCAATAAATTACCAGTGACACAGTGTCCAGTTCAGTGACAAATGTGCATACTTCACTGTGCTCTCCACAGACTTCTGTAAGTCTAATCGTACATGTGGCCTTTTCCTTTTGTAATAAATTGATAACAAAGTATCAAAAACACATGTGTCTCCTTTGATTAGGCACTTGTGGTGTGTGAATCTCCCGGAAAAGGGAAGAATGAAAATAGATTTATCAGCGGACTGTCACTGACTAAAAAGGGTGTAGTCAGTTCAAGCTTGTGCTGATGAAACAGAAAATATGTCTCTTTCTGCAGAGAAAAGTGACGATGAGGAGTTGGACATCAAGCCAGAGAAAGGCATAGGAAGCCAGGGGAAGGGGGACGATGGGAAGGATCCAAGGAGGCCCAAAAGACCACGAACCATTCTGACCACTCAGCAGAGACGGGCCTTCAAGGCCTCCTTTGAGGTCTCCTCAAAACCCTGCAGAAAGGTAAGACGGAGCCCAAATAATCGGCAAAGTGAGGGGTTTTGTTTAGTTTTTTTATTCCCTGGTTTTCATTGGGGGAAGGGGAGATTTAGATGCCAACCACGAGCCCTACAGTAGTTTGACAAATAAAATTCTCAAATTAAAAAAATCTCCCCCACCTCAGAGCTGAGCTTTGAAGTGGCAAGCAGCATTCTGTTCTGTGTTAACTGAGGCAGGCTGGTGTAACGCAGTCCGTCTGCACCAAATGTCACACTGAGATAGGAGAGCTGCCTCCATAGCCGGGGCCCTAAAACAGCCGCTGCAACCGGTCCAAGGCTTTGAAGAGGCAATAAGCAAGAGGTCCAAAAAAGACCACTGCATTCATTCAACGTTCGCTGGAATCAAAGCAAATCAAAGAGGCAATGCGCCTGCTGGCAAATGTGGCAGATACGTTAAAGAGGCAAAGTATTTCAGGGTGTTTTGTTTTTCTCGTGTGATGCCGAAAGTATTTTGTCTGGATGTCTTCAGGTGAGAGAGACGCTGGCTGCAGAGACGGGACTCAGCGTTCGGGTGGTCCAGGTGTGGTTTCAGAACCAGAGAGCTAAGGTGAGAGCTACTAACGCAGGGTGAATTACACTTTGTGTTGTCAAAAAAAAAAAAAAACACACACACACAGCTTTGTTCCATCTTAAAGTCCAGCTAATAATAAATCACCACAACTATGTGTGTTAAACTTATCACTGCATTCCTTTCAGAAATGCAAAAAAAAAAGAGAGCAAGGAGTTGCAAATCTAGCTCACTCTTGCATTAAATGTCTACGCCCTCCTCTTTTCTGATTATTATCTTGTGAAAACCTTTGATACTTGACAATGGAGTGCACTCAGATACAGATTTTATGCAGTTCATTCAAGGGTGAACAGCGAGGAGCATCCTTTTTAAATTAAAGAGAGCATGTTAGTTTTGGGAGTTCCTCACAACTTTGACTCCTTCGTTGCAGATGAAGAAGTTGGCAAGAAGACAGCAGCAACAACAAGAACAACAGAATTCTCAGAGACTTGGCCAAGGTACGATACTGTACATACCCTGCACACACAATAAAGCCTCATCATCTTAAGCAGCTTGGCGATGAAATGCAGTATTAATAGATTCTGGGTGTTTTGAAGAAGAATGAGAATGAACGGATTTTTTTTCCCCCAAAACTTTTTTCTGCAAAGAAAACACAAGTTTTAATTCATCACAGAGTATTTTTACTTCGGGATCTTCAAGCTGATGTCATCCCAGTGAGAAGGCATACACAAGTCCTTCTTTCTGGTGACTGCTGAATCAGAAAATACAAACTTTCCTCCTCTTGACTTATGTTTCAGTGTAATCAAATGTGTGTTCAATAGCTAAATAACAGATTACAAATATATCACTGTGTAAACAAGAAGACTTCAAACGCGAGATGGAAAATTTGGTTTGGAAGCCAAATAAAATGAATGGCAGACATCATTTTGCAAAAAACCGCTGCAAAGGGAAGCAGAGAGGGATGGGCTCCAGCGATGAAGCCGCAAGAGCTTTGTGTCCCTCTCACCAGTCGGTTAGCCAAGAGCAGTGTTTGTAAAGGGAATTGTGGGAGAAGCCACAGGAAGAACTACTGTAGGTTTCCATGGAAATGCTAACAGACACTGAGCCAAGCCAGCGATCCAGGTATTCGGAGGTTAAAATAGCTATCTCGCAAGCACCTATATTTATTTTTAGGCATTTTCCTCTGCAAAACAGAAATTAAATCTACAAGGAAGGAACATATCTCCCTACTCTTAATTCTCTAATCCTAATAGTTTCCCTCTGTGTACACCCATTGGCTACAGTTTTCTGTCTTATCAAGTTTTTAAAATATATACATTTTTCTTATTGTTTTTTTTTTTTCCTCATTTGCTTTCATTGCCCTGCAGAGGTGATGTCTAATCGGATGGAGGGGATGATGAACTCCTTTACACCCCTGGCTCCGCCGCAGCAGCAGCTGGTCGCCATGGATCAGAACGGTTACAGCACAGACCCGTTCCAACAGGGGCTCACCCCCCCACAGATGCCCGGGGACCATATGAACCCATATGGTGAGCATCCACCAACTCCCACCCCCCACACACACACACACATACATACACTATCCTCCCCCCCCTCCACCCTCCAACGAGAAAAAGGCCCACTGCTGCTCACAAAATGCACACATGCCTGTCCCTTGATCAACCTCATAGCTCCCCAGTGTGGGACATGTGCTCAGGCCACAGCCCCCTGATTTAAGCCGCTCACAGGGAAGAACGAGCAGCTTCTCCTCCCACATGAGATAACACAAGCGTTCTCATAAGCTGTTGGGTTTTGAAGTTGCATTTTCAAATCTGTTTAATATGGTTTCAAGTCCTCGCCTCCACTTCTGAGACATGCCCCGTTACTGATGGTGTTTCTTAATGTTGGTAAAAACATGTGGTCTGTGTGGACAGCTTCGGATAAACTACAGTCCAAGACAATGATTGAGGGCTGTGCGAGCTAATGAATCAGAATGGGAAAACAACAAGCCTCTGATTTCTGTTTGATACAGGAAAGAATTAAAATGCAAACAAGGACATGGGGGGAAAGAATCAGTCAATCAAGTGTTAGTCCACAGGATGTAACTGGAATAACACATTTCTGAGTGATGTCCTCAACATGTCCCAGAGGGACCATTTCCTGAAGTTCATAACTTCCTTATAATTTGCCTCCATTTAGTTCTTCTCGGTAGTAAGAACCCAAATCCCCAGTCTCATCACTCTCCTTTGGTTTGGGGAAAAGAACAATATTGGCAAGGCATTAAAAGATATGTCTCAAAACACTGTCCCCATTTTGTGCAACACTATCATTAAGATCCAGAGTGTAATAAAGTTAACTATTCCCTCCAGAGAAATAACATGTTGAGGTTTTATGAAAGGCGTAAACAGTTGCTATTAACCAGATCTTTTAGGAGGATGCCCCTTGTTTACATGCTCCCTCATAGACCGCAATTGTCCCAGCGAGGGCAGCAAAAAGTGAGCTTTGATGATATCTAACAAAACAGCTCTCACAATTGTGATGACACCCAACAGCAATTTCTCAAAGTGACTATTAGTAATTATAATTTCCCAATGCTGCAATAAATCTCAAATACAAGATTGCATTGATTTCTTAGTCAGAGCGGGGTGTTGTTGTTTTTTTTTTTTCTTTTCTTTTTGAATGACGCCTCTGGCTCCGAATCCTGACGGCTATCTCCGCATCCTCCCTCCGCAGGTAATGATTCTGCATTCCATGACATAGACAGCGACACGTCTTTAACCAGCCTCAGTGACTGCTTCATGGCATCGTCGGAAGTCAACTCCATGCAGGCCCGCGTGGGGAACCCCATCGACCGCCTCTACTCCATGCAGAACTCTTATTTTGCGTCATGAAAAGAGAAGAGCGAAAGAGAATGAAAGAAAGAAAAAAAAACGTCAGCACAGAATAAACTGCCCATCTCAACCTGAAGCGCGACGGCCTGGAGCTTCTACACTAGCACGGACATGACAGAAGAAACACCTCCTTGCAGTAGCTCCTGGTTATGTGCGGAAGCTTACTCAAAGATAGTAAAACCACTTGTTGTAGGACAGTGAAGATTCCTGGGGAAAAAAAAGACTTAAATATTGGTAGAGATTACTTGGTAGGATTGCTTATTTGTCACAGGAGATATTACTCTTTTCTTTGTTCACTTAAAGAAAACAAGTAGATATTGAAGCCACTGATTACACACTCTCGAACCAAATAACACAGTGAATTTATACAGTGCATGATCAATTGTAAACTAAAACTTTTTGTAAGCCCCCCCTGGTTAAGATGTGGTGTTTGGACTGTTTCTTCTTCACACTACATGGACTCCCATGTTCACCGTTAGCATTTTGATCACTTTCCATAGGTTTAGATATCGTGTTAATAGTAAATAGGTGCAGCATGTCTGCAAGAGTGACTGTACATTTGTGTATGTATGAGAGCTTGTGATGAGAAAGAATTGTTTAGAGGAGAAAAAAAAGCAGAGCATTTGATGGACAAGTAGGATCAGTGAAGTGTAAATACTTTCCCCAGGCAAATTGGATGTGCATGTTAAAAATGGAAAGCATTCTATTTATTTAACTATAACAGGCTCTTGAAGGTACATATTAAAACTGAAAAGCTTTATTTAAAAGGAGAGCATTTTTTTTGTTGAGCAATTAGTGAGTTCCTGAGTATCACAACTCATCTGTATACCTTTTCAATATGAAGATTAACCCTTTTGGTTTTTTTTGTTTTTGTTTTTGTTTTTGTTTTTGTTTTCTTCAGCCAAGCTGTAAATGAGCAAAGTTGCTATTTATTTCGTACAGTCCATAAAACTTTTGTTGTCATTGTCATTTGTGCATTCTCAAAATGTTAAAGTTGCTAATTGACCAAAGTTGACTGGTTTGATGAATAAACAATGTCTTTCTCCTGATAACATTAAATAAATACCACCAGTGACCATTCACATGGAAACACTTCAAGTCCCATATTACCTGCTTTCGTGAATGGGCCCTCAGAATATCAAGATTTTCCGTCGTGCTACTGGCATGACTCCAACAATACCATTGTTGTCTATTGGTCTGCATGCTATTGGATGGATTCTCGCAAAATTTGGTGCAGATGTCTGTTTTTGCAAAAGGACAAATCCTAGTGACTCAGGTGATCTCCTTGACTTGTCCTCTTGCATCGGTCCTTTAGTTTACGACAAACCACAACTGTGTTTAATGCTACTGTAATTAGCAAATGTCTCAGCATAACTAAGACGGTCACCATACTTAGGATATCTATTAAACATGAGTATGTTAGAATTATTTTTGTGAAGCAGTGACTGTGCTGTATATAAGGATGAATGAACCCTCTGTGTCGTCACCATTAGTTTCCTCAAGACCGGTTTTAAAGCTCATTGTCTTCAACTATCAAGATCTTTTTTAGTCCTTGATTCTTCCTAACTTCCGGCTTGTCCAAAAATGAGCAAAAAGATGGAGCATGATTGGGGCTGACAAGAACCATGGACTGTCATATTATGGCACCAATCAGGCACCCATGCAGCCCCACCCTTAATTATGCGTAACTTTAAGCCCCAATACAAATAGAATTACATAAAAATTCACACCCATACAATTGTCATGAACACGAAGAATAGATAGAACAAAACAGCAAGCTATAATATGTTTATTTTTGCTGTAAAGTTGGATATTTTAACATGGGGGTCAATGGGGGTTGACTCACTTTTAAAACCAGCCTCAGGTGGCCAGTCGAGGTACTGCAGGTTTTGGTACTTCCCTGTTGGCTTAATGTTTGAGCCCCGGAGGTTGCCGCTTCTTCTGAGCATGTCAATGGTACTCAAAGTTCAGCCACATCTGAGCACATTCAACGATCTCTTAATTCAACGATCTAGTTTATTATTCGACTTGACCTTAAGAATGGAACAAATAACTTCATTTTGTTGCTTGCCTGTAACAGAAAGAAGACGTTAAGGCATAAACATTATGTATTTAGGGCGAGGTCGACGAAAAGTTCAGGTGACATACCAATACAGCTGCACGGCTAGAGAGCAAACCCCACCTATAACCTCAGGGCTTGTCGGGCGGTTGCTTGGATGTACCATCTGGGTGCTCCTTCATCTCTCTGACAGCTCTTCAATGTGGCCAGGCAGGCTTCCACCCACTGTCTGTGGAGTCACGTGGCCGTGCAGATAAACAATGCATTCACGATGTTCCGTGTCACTGTGACTCAATATATTTCTAATGTCATGCTCATGACAGGCTTTAATAAACTCAACTGCTATTCCTCAGCAGGAGGAGAATGTGAAATCGTCATATCTATAAAGGAACAGAGCATTAGTGCGCTGTGGTCTATATATATATATATATATATATATACACACACACACACACACAATATATTTCTAATGTCATGCTCATGACAGGCTTTAATAAACTCAACTGCTATTCCTCAGCAGGAGGAGAATGTGAAATCGTCATATCTATAAA